CTCCATCGCGCTACCGTCTCAATTTTCGTCCACAAAAGTGTCTAATACTTTGAGCAGACTAATCTTCCTATTTGGGTTGGACCAGCTAGAATAGTAGGGAATTAAGTAAGCAACGACCAGGTCTGCTTGGGCTTGAACCTGAGAGCCCGTATTCTATCACAATTTCGTCACAACTCAATCAATTATCAATTATCAATTATTTAAGATGGGGACGCCACTATGTGCGTATTTTAACCCAAATATGAGTGAACTCTTTCTAAGTAAAAAAAAAAAAAATGTTCGAACAAATTCACGTTTTTCTTAAACTATATAAGTGCAGTGTAAAGCAATTTGTTTGATTAAAAAATATTCGTAGTTACATAACCAATTGTGTATCTTAGTGATTCCATCATCCTTAAGTTATTGCAAACTTAGTAAAAGATACTTGAATTGTTGGAGTAGAGCAATGTTGGAGTAAAGCAGTGTGTAGAGCAGTACCTTACAATGACAGCATTTTCTTCATGAAGCAATGTCTGTCTCTATAGTTAACGACACTCTGGCAAATCTTCCATCCAATGGGAAACGCATGGTCAAATTGCACTCTGAAAAAGTTTGAGTCCAGCATTAAAATTATTGCTGATAAATAAATTCATAGTCTGATCAAATTTGAGTTTTACATTGTTATAACTGTTTCTTTAACATTAATAAAGAACATTTGAATTATTGTGTGTGTTTAGGATTTTTCTAAGCGCATGTATTGTTTTCCTTGGTCCATCTGTTATACTTGTTCTAACATCCAGAGTTTTTCCAATATGCACAAGTCTCAACTACGTCCATGCACAATAAGTGACAAAAGTCAACTGTGAAATAGAAATAGTTTTACAATCTGGATACTGTAAAACCTATGAAAAAGATATTTTTAGAAAGTAGATAAGCAGACCTGTTCATTCAATCTCCCTTGTGAAGAAGATGGATATTTTCAAACTAAAAGACAAAAGAAAATATCATGGCTTTTAGTGGGGGGAGATATTTTTTTCTGGTTCTCTCTCTAAGAAACCCAGAGGGGTGTACTGAAACTGCCAAGACACAACACTTGACATTGCTCATTACATAGTTAAATGCTTTAAATCACGATACTTAAGAGGTTAAAAGTAATTTAATTTACTGATGAAGGTAGAAATAATTGTGTTCTGAAGAATTAAGATTGTAGTGGTTTGTAAAATTCTTCTTACTAAATGTATTATATGGCAGCTCAAGTTATACTGGTGTTAAAGAAATTGATAAACTTATATGTTATCATTATTTTACTTAATTTAACTCTTATTTACTAAATTTTAAGTTTAAAAATATACTAAGGTGTAGGTAGGCATCGTCGAAATTACACAATAACAATATCATGTAATGCATACAATAGGATACATGTCTTGAAGTATAAATAAAACACAATGGATGTTTTAGGGATAAAAGCGTTATAAATTTATGGTACATAATTATAAAAAACAATATTTTAAAATGAAAAGTCTATTTAAAATATAGATTATGATGTAAAAAATGTATAAAACTATAAACATTTGAAACAACATATATAATAGTAAAAATCATGTTGAAACAAAACTAAACAAAGTACAGTAGTAAAAGAAAAGTAAATATATATTCACACGAGACGAAGTTAATACTTAAAAAGTTTAAGTAATGTGTAGTTTATTGAGAGCTCTAATAGTCGTAACACCAAAACCTTAAATTAACGTAGAAAATAACTCCCAAAGTATAAATACGAAAGTGCAAATCACACCCTTATTTTTCTAATCATCCACCATTTTGAAAGAAATATTAGGAAGATGAAGTTAACATAAAGTGTTAAGACAGAAATGGGAATTATAAGTCTCCCGTTTATCCCCGTATACCTGGCCCAGCCGCTGTGGCAGTTTCTCTACGTTACGTCTCCCCAGCGCCGAGTCTCCCCAGCGCCGAGGCCATAAATTACCAAAGGTTCTGCTCAGTGATGCAGAAGTGCTATACCTACTATTTTAAAATCGTATAAATGAGTTTAATCTGTGAAGCAGTAAAGGTTAGGTTACGTTAGGTTAGGTTAGGTTAATCATTCAAGATTAAGTGCGAACATCTCAAAAGTACGAGATTCAGTAAGCTGAATTAAAAAATATTCATTAAATGTTAATTTAGAATTCGAATCGTATCATATCTGCAATGAAATGTATGTAAAATTAACGTAATTCCAGTGTTGATTGTCTACAATGCTCAATTGGTCACACGCCTTAACCGCAGTTCCTTGCTTTTGTGAATTCCAATTCGGCTGTCAAAACTGTCAGATTATGCCAGATAGCCTGCTCGGCGCTGGGGAGACGCGGCGCTCGGGAAACGGAATCGTTTATGTATTTCTACCACATTCGAAAACACCCTTATAATCCTTCCTAATAGCTGTGGCAGTTTCAGTATGGATTATAATCATAAAACGTGGTAGCAGTTTCGGTGTCCCCACTCAGAGACCTGTAGGATAGCCTACACCAGGTCATCAAACTCAGCATTATCAAATTTTCATATCTAAAAGCCATCAGTAATTAGCGGGATTTGAACCTTTAGTAACCATTTGAACCTATACAGCATCTAACAACGCAGAGAAGAGTCCATTCAAACAAGCATCTAACAAGCTATACGTCCATTCAAACCCAATAAACTTTTGTAACCCCGATGGCTCGAACTATGGAATCTTTTGAGACATTATTCACACAGATAATAACACATCTAGCTACAAATCTACCACTTACTTCATTAAGGTATGCTCTATATAATAACTTTAATCCAAACCCAAACGAAATATTATAACCAAAGACATCAATGCTCAATTGATTTTTCGCCCACTTGTAGGCTAATTTTCATTTAGTATACAATCCTGCAAAACCGTTATTATAAACGTGTATTAAATGGAATGATCCATATAAACATTATTGTGGTTGTGGATTGAGTCATAATGCTTTCTTCTCTATTAAGAAAATCGTGATTGAAACACTTATTCTAGAATTGGAACTAAGAGTGAAAAATGCATAAATATTTTTATATTCGGCTTAGTTTTTCTACTAGCAAAAATGTAGATAAAATGTGTGTTTTTACAGTAACGAAGCTTACTTTATGATCCAGCAATCCAGAAGTAAAATACTGTCTTTTCAACTGGAGAAAGTTTCAATCTCCTAATAAGCATCTGACGAAAGAAGGAAGAAAGACGTCCAGTACATTGTTCTTTTTCAATTACATTCGCCATTGTTTGTTTTTCAGAGGCTGCATATAGAGTGTCTACAGTCCATTCTGAAACCGTTTAATCAAACAAAATTAAATGTGAAGTGTGCATTATTCTGTTCGCAATCCACGATAAAGTATTATAACATTGTACACGCTTTCGCTAGCTGCCGCCACGCGGCCACAGTACCGACGCCGTAGATTAACATTGTAAAGTGTCTTCTCTTACTAGTTGAATGCAACATATCGCCCAAGTAATGTCTCTTGAGTATGTTTTTATAGTTTTAAAAGTTAAGTCATCATCGTTAGAATAGGTTAGTAACGAAATACAGTTTTCACTCGCCTACAAGATATTCATAGAGATAAAAACGGACCGGAGTGCCGCGTTCCGAAAAAACTATTTTATAAAAATTGCATGCTACGGGTCTGGACGATTACAATGTGCTTTTAATCTTTATTTTGAGGTTAGTACTGTAATAATGACCGAATACAATTGTTTTCGTTAGAAGAAAATTTAAATAACATACGTTCCGACTCAATATTTTGTTTTTCGTTGTAAACAAAGATTCTAAATATTTTTTAATATTTCTATCCTCATATTTTCACAATTGTTGAGCAAGTCCATAGGAAAGTAGCTATTTTGTCATAACTACCATCATACCTAAAACTTAGGTACATATGGGCCCGGGACCGCTGTAAAACCCCCCCCATAAGTCAAAACACGTGTTTATAAATTTTGTTGAACATATTTATATGACATAATTGGAGGTAAGAAGCTTCTAAATATTGGGTTTTGACCTTTTTCAATCAGCATTTTTTGCTGTTAAACAACTATTCAACTGATCTAAAAGAGTAATAATGCATTGCATATTATATTATCCTACAATTATTGAATGTCAAGATAATATTGGGTAATAAACGCCGTATGTCATCACTTGTGTTGTCCTCATGGAGAATTAAATGGCCACTGTAGATTCATTGAACCATATTATTGGAAATTGGTTAATTTATTTATTTCGTGGAAGGATTTGACAAGATTAGCTAAAGATTACATTATTTGTGTTCTTTGCAGCAACAAAAGAGATTTTTTTAATTAGGTAGTATTATTTTATTAGACCTAAGTCTGATTCTTTTTTGTTTGCAGGTATGTTGTGGAGTTATTTTTCATCGGTCAAGTAATTAGGGTGCTATGCCACTTTTGCGTTCACCTCAGGTCCAAACGACTCGTCATATACGCTGTGATTTTGGTAGCAACTCCTTTCCATATCTAGAAAAACCTACGAATAACTTACAGACTTACCCAACCTAACCATCACGACACCATCAACAGACAACAAAGATGGGGTTAAAACAAATGTACCTACTTAAAATACACTTTTAAACATTAAAAACAAATCCCTTCACTTTCCAACACTATCGTCGGCTGAAAAGTGGATAAAACTCGATTTCCAGAAGCAAAACTGTTGATTATATCATATCCTTAGAAGCTACGCGTAGATCACACAGAAAAGTGAACGATGTTTAGCATTAATTGGATATTAAGGAACATCCCAGCCGATATTATGCAATAGGGGAAAATACAGTACTTGGGAAATACGATGATGATGGCATCTGATGTAATCCCAACAAGGAGTATATGTAAACCATGACTGGTAAAGATAACGAAAAAAATAATTCCAAAACTCAAAATGACATTATGATCAAGTGTATTCGGTAATATTTTGACGGAAGTTTCTAGTTAAATACGCCAAGTACCAGTAGTTTAATGCGTGTATAGGATTAAGACAATTTTGTTTTGTTAAAGTAGGCTTTACGTGTAAGACGTTTTAGCCAAAGTGGGCTCGTTAAATTCATCTATAACATAACTGCAGTTTCACGGAATTCCAGCTTTGAAATTCCTAATTTACTGAGACGTCAGTTTTCGTTTAGTTTGACCAAATGTGAGATAAAATCATTCATATTCCTTCCATGAAACACTACTGAGAAAGCTCAATATAATCTAGGAGAGAAACTCTTGAGAAGCTACTAGAAACAATAATGTCAAACAAGTTGAATTTTTCTAAAAAGAAGAGGTGCATTCTTGTTACCCCTGAAGGTGAACCATCCGTTAAATATATTACTAAATTTTGTTGTGTTTTACAATAGTCAAAGGGTTTACCAATCCGATTCTTAGTTATTACAAGGTTTATTAGTAAATTGTAATATACAAATTGATAGTGTAATCCTCTGAACTAATACATCGATTTAACGTCTACCGAGCGTAGAGTTCAATTTTTAGGATTTTTAAGTCGGCTCTAGAACTCGATACTATGGAACTCGGAACTAACAATCTTCTTAGCTTTAGTTTCGCTTT